AGCTGGAAGGAACCAGGCCAGTGTCAGGAAGTAACACGGGCGAGAAGAATGGAGGAGCCCCAGAGCCAGCAGGTGGGGCCACCTTGTCCCTGTCCCCAAGCCAGGCCCCAGCCTGCAGGGGCTGCCTTGTCCCCATCCCCATGACCCCAGGGCCTGTGCACCGGTGCTATCTCCCCTCACACTTGCCAGATGGTTGGTCCCGGCTGCCCTTGTCCACTGCTGTGAGTGTCTGAGAACAAGGCCTTCTCTCAGTGCTTACAGGGGCAGAAGAGAGCGGGCACAGGTCAGCGAGGGTGGAGGTCATGGGACAGCAGGTGGAGGTCAGTAGGAGCAGAGGTCAGCGGAGGTGAATGTAGGGGGCAGAGATCAGCAGGAATGGAAGTTGAGGGGCAAAGGTCAGCAGGAGTGGAGGCTGAAGAGCAGAGGTCGGGGCAGAGGTCAGGGCAGAGGTCTGCATGGATGGAGGTCAAGGCACAGAGGTCAGTGAAGGTGGAGGTCAGAGGGCAGAGGTCAGTAGGGCTGGAGGTCAGTAGAGGTGGTGGTCAGGGGACAGAGGTTAGCGGAGGTAAATGTTTGGAGTGGAGATCAGTGGAGATAGAGGTCAGTGGAGACAGAGCTCAGCAGGGGTGAAGGCCAGGGAAGGAGGTCAGAGTTCAATGGAGGTGGAGGTCTGGGGCAGAAGTCAGTGGGGGGCAGAGGTCAGTGGGGTGAGGATGGGGGGATGGAGGTTGAGGGGCGGAAGTCAGTAGTGGTTGGAGGTCAGGGCGGTGGTTGGAGGTCAGAGGTCAGCTCTGGAGGTCAGGGGGCCGTCAGCAGGGGCAGAGGTGGGGGCAGGTCAGTGGGGCAGACTCAGCGGGCAGCATCTACTGACCCCCCAGCAGCAAGCCGGAGTGCAACAGAGTGGGCGGCCCCTCTGCCCTCCCTCGTCCTCAGGCTGACTGCCCAGAACCGCTGCATCCCTGTGCCTCTGGCCCCGCCCTCTCCCGGCAGCTGGCCCCTCCTCCAGGCCGCTCTGCCAGCCCTCAGTCTGAGTGT